ACCAGGTGTGCGGCTGCGCTCTAGGAATGTGGAGGTGAGAGGTCCCAAGTTCCAGCCCAGCACAAGCAACTTAGTGACTTATTGAGATCCTAGCTCGAAGTGTTAAAAGAGGGCTGGGGATGCAGCTTATTGCAAAGGCCTTGGGTTCAATCTCCAATACTGGAGGAAGGAGGGAAACAAGCAAACCAAAAAGCAAATGACTGCCTGGTGATGTAGGCCCATGACCCCAGCCATTTGGGAGGCTGAGGCAGAAAGGCAGCAAGTTCCAGCTCAGCCTGGGCAACTTAGGGAGGTCCTGTTTCAAACTGAAAAATAAAAAGGCTTGGGGTGGAGCTCAGCGGTAGAGCTAGACCTAACATGCACAAGGTCTGGGTTCCACCCCCAGCACCAGCCCCATCACTAAAATAAAAAAGGGCCAAAGCTGCGCAGGGACAAACACTCCTCCAACGCTACCAGTCACAGGGATAAGCCAGCATGACTCAGGTGACCTGGGATGGCTGCCAGGGCTACAACAGGCCTCCTAGGCTGCTGGCTGCCCACACAGTGGGAGAGGATGGGAGACAGCACCCATCCTCTGGGGACCGGCTGCCACCCTCCCCTAGGCACACCTGGCCTGGTGCAGTTCCTAAAGGGCCCTGCCCACTCAGGCGACTAGCTCGAAGCTCGGCTTCGCCTCTAGAAGCCAGGCAGCCTCCTCCTCCCAGTCAACAAGGGCCAATCGGCACAGTAGCCTATGCTGCCTGCAGGCCCCCAGGTCCCCACGCTGTCCTGACTGCACTGATGTGAGTATCCCCAGCTGTCCCCAAGCCCCCAATGTCCCTCTCAGTCCATGCACAGCCAGACCTGGGTGCCCTGACAGCTTTCATCTGCGCCTTACACTGCCGGGCCCACTGCTGCCTGTGTCCCCTGCCACACCAGCTGCCGCGCCGTCTGTTGTCTCTGCCCGATTGTCCTCCCTGAGGTGTCTGCCTGCCCACATCTCTGCAGAACTCACGTTCAGAGATCACCTTGCGGACCTGCTCCTCCGGAGCATCTGTCAAGGTGACAGCTCCTAGCTGTGAGCTATGGATGGGACCAAGGCCCTGCCAAATGCAGCCCCAGGCAACTCATCTTCTGGGGGCAACCATCTGCCATCCTCCACTCAGGTGGCACCAGCACAACTCACACACTGAGGCCCATGGAGGGGAAACTGAGGAGAGAGCTGAGGAGTGGATTGGCTCCAAATGACTACTTGGTGATAGCAACATCAGCCTCTGTGAGCAACTGCGCCTGCAGCCGGACAGCCTCCAGGACCCCTGGGGAAGATCTGCCTTCGCAGCTGATCTTCTGCACACACTGAGCCCCTCAGCCTACATCTGCTCCTGATGCCAGCCAGGAGGAAGACCAGAGAATGGAGTGATGGCCCTACATCTGAGGCCAGCTGGGAGCCCGGGAGGGATGTGTCCGTCACACAGTCCAGGCCAGTGGGCACACAGGTCCACGGGGGTCTGGTTCCTCCCCGAAGGGCCTTCCCAGGCTGGGGTGCAGAGCCTCCGAGGCAGAACACTCTGGTCCCAGAGACGGCCTGTCCTGGAACCCAGGTCTCAGCTCACCCCCACCTCAGCAGGCAGGTCCTGAAGTGAGAGTCCACCCAAAACATCTCCCACAGTTCCCTGGGCATCTTTGGTACCCAATCCACCACTCAACCTGCTCTCCCAGGGCCTCTGCAGGGCTGGACAGCTGCTGTAAAGAGGGGCAGGCAGTCACCACCACAGCATCCAGTAGGACATGGGGGACACACCCAGCAGGCAGTGGCCAGAGGGCTGACGGAGGCGCCTAGGGAGGAGCAAGGGGTGAGGGGGTAGGGGTGGTACAAAGCCCAGGGAGAACTCGGTGACAATGACAACAGCTGCCCACACTGCCCAGTGGCTCACCACTGGCTGCCTCTCTCCACTCCACTCACCCTCCAAGACAGGGGCACAGATACCCACCATCCCATCGGCACTCAAACACACCTCTGGAAGGGATAGCAGGCTTGTCGATGGGGCCAACAGATGTCACCCCAGCGCGGAGCTGGGTGAGGAACCTTCACTGGCGCTGCTGCACCCTGCAAAGGGCCCTCATGGTGCGCTCCACATTGGGCATCCTACAGCCACCTCTCCCGGAGAGCGCAGGCAGCACTCACAGGCCCCACGGACCAAAGGCACACACACTGGATGGTCCTTCCACCCATCCCTGGGAGGCCAGTCCACAGGGCACCCCATGCCCATGCCCCACACCAGTGTACCCTGGGACACAGCAGGTCCAGGCCCACATACCCGACCCAACTGGGGCCTCCACCCTCTAGCTGGGCTGGCCCTCCTCCTGCCAACCCCAGCTGTGACGATGGCTCCTGCTGAGGACACTGTCACAGGCAAGTCACGGGCTGGCATCCTACACCAGAGGGCCCCTGGACCCGAATGGGCGTGGACTGATCATCAAACTTCCTGACGGGGAGGTCACTGAGTGCCTGGCCAAGGCCATACAGTGGAGAGGGGAGCAGCTGGTGGGCCTCAGCAACTCCCAGACCCCAGGATAGTCCCAAAGAAGCCCTGGGTAGCAGTTTTCAACCCCCAGCAGCTCAGAATGTCAGAGAAGGCATTGCTGCAACAGCAGCCAGTTTCTGTCATAGCCACCAGCTGGCATTTCATAAAAACCAGCATCACAGCAACCACAGTGTGGGCAAGTCCCTCTTCAGGTGCTGGTGGTGAATGGTACTTTCCCAGACTGAGAGCAGCCCTTCCAGAGCACACAGCGGCTCTGACACAGCCTGCCACCAGCTCAGCCTTACCCCAACCCCCTCAGGAGCCAGCACCTGCCATTCCATACTCTTAAATTTACCAACATTTCTCCTTAAACATTTGTCACTCCCCGACCAACTTGTAACCCCTGTAAGAGTAAAGGCCACAATGGATCACTGTGACCAGAAGGACCTCACATACCCAGGCACCGTACGCTGGCATCCTGCTGGTGCAAGTCTGGGTCCTCATTCAGGAACGGGCACAGCACACAGAGACCCAGCACCGTGCTGGGTCCAGGAAGGAGACCGAGAACACTAAGGGGATAGTGGGGCTGAGTCAGCACCACAACACGTCTCCCAGAACCACAGCCTGGGCCGCTTTCCTGGAGTTCACAACAGGCTCTGCAGCTGCATTGCCAATCTCAGCTTCCTGGGCCTACACCACACCCCCAGATTTTATTTCTCCCTCCTACTGGCCCTGGTCTTGTTCCCCTCCCTAAGCCCAACTCCAACACTCCTTCACTTCCTGGAAAACCCGATTGGCTCTTCCTCCTCCTCCTTCTCCTCCTCCTCCTCCTCCCAGGGAACACCACAGCCTCCTAGGAGGTAAGCAGCAGGGCACAAGGTAGGAGCTCCACACCCTCACAGACCCAGCCTCTTCTCCTGGCTGTGGGTTCCAGGTATCCCCCCACCACTCCGTTTCACTGAACGTCGGGTCCACACGCTGCCTCTGGCGTCAGTTTTCCCACCCGAAAAGCAGAAGTGGGTTGGACTAAATGGCCACTTTCCCAGCCAAACCCGAGGAACAGGGGCTGAAACTGAAGATGGCCAGGTTCACTTCACACCTACTGAAAATTCAGCGACAGGGACCTGGAAAAGAACCTTCCGGAAGTAGCCATCCACCCCATCAGGTGATGACAGGCCTGAGAAACACACTGTGTAAAGGGACAGGAAACACCCTAGGGACACTCAGACAGGGGCCCCTGGGCCAGAAGGCTGTCTTTCGCTGCCTGGAGGGCAGGCAGTGCAGCCAAACCCCTGAGGAGCTTGGCCTCCGTGCCCCAGCTCGAGGCGGGTCTGGCCACAAACACCTGCCGCACGCAGCCGTGGGACCCCGGCCTAGCGCCAGGAGCTACACTGCGTCTCCGAATGGAAAGTGGCGGCGGCAGGGCCCCTGAGGACACCGCGGGAAAGCGCGCCCCCGAACCCCAGCCACGCGCGTAGAGATCGTCCTCCGGTGCTCAGCCGGGTCCAGCTGCCTACGGGTTCCCACTCAGGGTCCCGAGGCACCCACGCCGATCCTCCCTGCAGCGCTTCCAACCCACCCAACCCAGCGCTTGGCCTCCCCGGCCTCCGCTTCCGCGCCTGCAAAGCCGAGCTCGCTGCATTGAGCTCACGCGAGCCTGTGGTCACCTGGGCCTCCCGCCTCCTGCCTGGCTTCGATGCCCTGCATCGGGTCAGGGGCACCAGGCCCGCAGCGTCTCGGGCGCTCC